GTTTTAAAATAATTGTCAGAATTTTCTTGCATATGATATAAATGGTATTATATGATTATATGATATAAATGGTATATTATCTATTATACCACCTCTTTTTGGAGTGGGAGCAAATATAGATCTCTACCAGTTAATTTACCACTAAGCAGTCTTCCAAGTTGCTCGACATAAGACTAGTGAGCATGTCTAGGACTGCATTTGTTTATTTAAATAGTTGCTATTTTTGAATAATATTTTCAGCATAATTTTGCTTATACTTGTTATTACTGAGGTTGTTCGATAATTTCCATGTTCTATTGGATCACCTTTTTTGAGTACGGGGATGAATATGGATCTCTTCTATTCAGTTTACCAGGTAGCTGTCCTCTAGTTTCTTGGACTATGTTGAATTATGTAATTGGTATTCTATCAATTTCTGGTGCCTTATTTTTTTGCCAGTTCCTTCTGAGAGGCTTGAAATTCCTCCTATATTACCATTGGTTGTCAATCATGTGCTACTTCCTGAAATTATTCTGTGTTAGCCAATTTTTGGTACAGTGACTCCGTATATTCTTTCCATCTTCTTTTGATATTTCTAAATCACTCAGTTTTTTTATCCATAGCATTTTAAAATATTTCAGCTTGAGGCTTGAATTTATTCGTTAGTTCCTACAACTTGAGAGATACTGAGTTCTTTTCTTTTGATTTTTTTTTTAGCTCCAGCTCTTTGCCAAAATGTGGTATAATACTTTGCATTGTTTTCAAACAAACTGCCCTTTGAAATAATTTCTTCAACTCTTTTGCTTTCCTGATTTCTTCCCTTTGTTTTTGTTTCTCAGCATTCTAGTGCAATATTCAAAGCCTCTGCTGACAGTCATCTTGGTTTTTTTCTTCCTCTTTTCCCTTTGCAGTGACATTTTCCATCTTCATTGATGATATTTTTGATATTGTCATCCATCAGGTCATCTGGTCTTTGGCTGGAAGGTACAGAAAAATTAGGAGAAACAGCTGTAAACATCCATTAATAATTAGAACATGAAATATATGAAGTATAAATTTCTTTTCATAGGGGGCCTTAATTATATTGAAAAATTTCCTTTCTATTCCTGTTTTGTTAAGAGTTTATCAGGAAAGTTACTGAATTTTATCCTATGCCTTTTCTGTATCAGTTGAGATGATCTTACGTTTCTTCTTGACCTGTGTAGTAGGGGAAAAGATGGGCAATCTTCTCCTGTGTAATTTATAGCCTCTGAAAACTTGCTGGGTCATTTGTGTGTTGATTCTGTCTTCACTACTCAACAACAGCAGCAACAACAACAACAACTACAACAAAAATGTGGTAGATTACATTATTTTCCTAATGTTGAACCATCTCTGTAATCCTGATATAGATCCCACTTAATCAGGGCATATGGTTTTTTTGGTACGTTGCTTAAAATTTTGTTGAAAATTTTTATATTGCTGCTAACAAGGGATGTTGTTGTTATTACGTGCTGTTGAGATGCCTGTGACCTATAGTGACCCTATGTACTACAGCTCTGAACTCTTCCCTTTTCTGAGCCAGTCTCACTAATTCCGACATACCAACCCCCATTTACTGTATCATTTTATTTCATCTGGGGTCTTCCTCTTCTGGGCTGTCCCTCCACCCTTCTGAGCATGATTTCCTTTTCCAAGGATCGGTACCAGAGGCTACAAGCCCAAAGTATCTGAGACAGAGCTTCAGAATCCTAGGAGAAAATTTCATAAG